TGGGGCTGCTTTTTAGTGGCTGCAGACAATGCCTAACTTCTAGCCACTTTTCTGATGAAAACTTGTCTCCAGCTGCCTGTCACTTGGAAAGGCCACATGACACAGTGCTAGTGCTCTAGGAGGGTCTGGCTAACCAGATTCTAGCCTTTCCCATGACTTGTTGGGGGCCTTTGGACAAATTGCCTCATCTCAAGGCCTGTCTGGGGCCCTGCTTTTGTGTTAGCCTTTGAAAGAAGCATGCAGACAGGCCATCCCTGGGCAGCCAGATGCCTAGAGACCTGGGTCTGCCCAGTCTGGAGCGACTGGGAAATGAGGACCATCCACTGAGGACACACGCTGAAGGGGAAGCCTTTCCAGAGGAAAGGATTCGAACAGGAAGGACTTTGATAAACCCCGCCCTTAAGAAATTAAATTGAAGAGAGCAGAATCCTGTTTGGCTTTCACGTACAGTCTCAGAAGTCAGGAACAAGACTGAAAGGGTTATGATCAACTCTGGTGCCTCTGACATTGCCCAGGTCAACCAGTGTGGCTTATTCTCCATATCAAGGTGCTGTCAAGTTTTCAATCATTTAACAAATAGCTATTAAGCAACAGTGGAGACAACAGTGAGCCAGACAGACAATGTCCTGGTCTCCAGGCGCAGGAACCCCAAGGACAGAGTGGGTGCCTAGTGTGCTGGGCAGCAGCACATGCCGCTGGAGCAGGGGTCGGGGAGCTCGGCTCATAGCTGGTAGGGCAGAAGCTTTGCAGGGTAGGGGGGAGAAGTTCAGGCCTGCCCACCTTTGCGAGGCCTTCTGGCTGATCTAGCGATTAATCAGCCTAAGAACACCCTCATGTCTGCACCTGCCATCTCTCAACCTTCTCTAAGGTAACTCTCAATCTTGGTCTGGCTTAGCTTGCTAAACCCGGGGTACCTGTTCTGCACCAAACCTCCCGTCACTGGAACAGCAGTGCAGACAATCACAGTGATGGCTGCTGGGTCCTCTAGGCAGGGGGGGAATGGCTGGCACACAGCCAATGATAAATGATATTCAAGGTGCATGGCAGGGCTAATTAGCTGCTAAGGGGGCTCTGTCAACGTTCACTCAGAATGTGGCCGTGACACTCCACAGAGCGATTCCCACCTAGCCTGACTTGAGGAGTGTAGAAGACTCTCTGCCCTGGCTGCCTTCTGAGGTGGGGATACTGCTGGGCACACACAGTTATGTCCGATGGTGCTTTCTGTGCAGGACTTAATGGAGACTGAAGGAAGGGGAACAGATTGGGAGGAAATGTGACAGGGTGCTGAGTGGAGTAAGGCAGATGTGTGCACATAAACACACCTGTTCTGGGGAGTACAAGGTGGTGAAGAGCTAAGCAAGGTAACTAGAACAAAGATGGAAGATGCTATTATGTCGCTCACAGAAAGCAAAATCTTTGGCAAGTCAGCCAACCTCTCTGGGCCAAAGCGTTCTGTCAAACAAAGGTAACTGTTTTACAGGGGGTACGCACATGAAAGCAGCTCAGACAAGCGCCCACAGGCCTTCAGGGCTGCAAAGAGAGCCGTCTTTCTCAACTGGGGCGACTTTACCCCCCAGGGGACATTTGGCAACGTCTGGGGACGTTTTCGGTTGTCTCAGATGGAGGGGTGCAACTAGCATTTAGTAGGTAGGGGCCGGGGGTGCTGCTCAACATCCCACAGTGTGTAGGACAGCCCCTCCCCCAACAGAGAATTCTGTGGCTCCAAGTGTCACCAATGTTGAATGTGAGAAACCCTGAGCTGGAGGAGCAGGGTCAGAGCTGCGTTTTATGTGATGTGGGATTTTGAGAGAGCTGTGTACTTTTCTCACTTGAAACATGGGGACAATAAGACCCAAGCTGCTCAACACACCACTTTGTGAGGCTCAGTCCCCAAATGCACAGGGAAACTTTTTGTGAACTCTAAAGGGCTCTTTCCCAAGCTTTTCTTAATTTCAAACCTGCAGCTGACTGAAGCATCTAGCACAGCGACTGGCATGTAGTAGGCACTCATTAAATTAGAAAGAGAAAAGCGTCATAGTGGAAAAAAAAAAAAGAGGCCCACTCCCCCTCTCTGGCCTGTTTCCTCCATATCTCAAGGCTGCCTTTTTTGCCTAGCTTTTCTATTAAGTTCCACACAGGCAGAGGGTAGGGGTGTTAGCAGAGGCTGTCTCAAAAGCACCCTTGAAGGATCAGGGATTGGACCAACAGTACCCGAGAACAGCTGACAAAGGAGACTGGGAAGTTTTGCCGAGTCTCAAGGGAAAGACTCCCAGCCCCACGCAGGAGTCCTGTGCTTCCTGCTTCTGGGGGACAAGATCCAGAGTGGCAGCAGCCCCTGGGTGCCTCTGCTCATCGGAGGTCAGCCTGTCCAAGGAGTAGCACCAGTCGTTGACACTCAACCTACAGAAGCTGGACTCAGAAAGTGGGCCGCTTGGGCCGGCCCCGAGGCTTAGCGGTTAAGTGCGCGCGCTCCGCTGCTGGCGGACCAGGTTCGGATCCCGGGCGCGCACCGACGCACCGCTTGTCGGGCCATGCTGAGGACGCGTCCCACATACAGCAACTAGAAGGATGTGCAACTATGACATACAACTATCTACTGGGGCTTTGGGAAAAATAAAATTATAAAAAAAGAAAGTGGGCCGCTTCGTGGTGGTGGTGCTGGTTGCGGGGGAGGGGTGAGGCAGTGAAGCCAGGCCCTGGCCTGAGAGCGACGTTTCATTCCTGTTACTCTCGGAGGCCTTCCGACATCACCAGCTTTGTGGAAGCTGCTGAGGAGGGACCAAAGGCACGCTCCACCCTTGAACTTGTCTTCCGACTGGGAAGGCCAGATGTTCCCTTGAGATTTGATGAGAGAGAGAATATCTCACAAAGTATATGCAAGCGCTGGGACAGAGGGCAGATGTGCTCAAAACTGAGAAGCCAAGAGGCAGAACGGAGTGGGCTGGAGCTTACGCAGACAAGCAAACATTAGGAACCGCATTTTAGGACTTCAAGATCCTCAGCAATCTTTGGACTGCTGTCTGTTCCCAAGCATCTCAGAGCTGGAGGGGGTGCGAGGCCATCTTGTCCAAATGCCTGTGAGGGGCTGAGGAAACTGCGACTGGGGGGGAGAGGTGCCCTGCCTCCCAGGCCAGCACTCTTCCCACTCTCCTGTGTTGCTTCCTCTTCAACATATGGTCTCCCACTCCGCTTTGTTCCTATGAAGGAGGTGAGAATAACCCCGTCTTGGCACGGGGAGAAATGGGGGCAGGAAGGCAGGCCTGGCTCAAGGCTGCAGTGACTTGGAACTTCCAATCTGGGTCCTCCCACATGGCAGGGCAGGGGAGGGAAGGGGCTGGGCTATGCCTGCTTCCCTCCTAGGGGAGGCCCAAGAAGCCCTCGGTAGAATCGCTTAGCAGCGGGTCCCTTCTTGCACCTCCTCCCTTGTCCCGAGGCATCCGCTCTCCTCACCAAGGGTGAGCTCTTTGCCCTACTGCAACTGACCCACCTCGTGTCCCACACCTCAAGGTGACCACAACCCGTGTCCCATCTCTCCCTTCCTTTCCCTCCAGAACAAGCATGTGCCACACTGCCAGGCCTTGGTGCGTAGGAAGCACTTTCAGAAAGTGTTTAATCCTCACAAAAGCTCCGGGAGGCAGGTCAGGGCCCCTTGCTCCCCCACCAACATGCCAGAAGCTAACCTCAGGGTGAACAGAGGAGCCCCTGAGAACTAGCTTCACCCTTCCTTTCCTGCCCCTCCCCACCGCCAGAGAGGCCAGGTTCTTCTCAAACGACTGTGCAGTGCCGTCCTCCTTCCTGCTTTCTCAAAGGACATCTGGTTCACCTCAGCGCCGTCAACGCTCCCCTGCTCGCCTCTGCACATCAGCCGCCTCACATCAGCCGCCTCGCAGACATCTGGGCCCCTCCCCCAGGTGCTGCTCGTGCCCTGGGGTTTGCAGAAGGAGACGCACGGGACGAGAATTTGGTTCAGAGTGAGAGGCTGCGCACAGTGCTTTCACAGGGCCTGCAGCCTTGGCTCCCCTGGGATCTGAGCCCCAGCACCTGGTTCTGAGCAGAGCCGGCTCGCACAGCCTGCATTTTGGCAATTTCTCTGTTGTCCATTCAAGACCTCTTTCCTCAGACCCCCAGTCACACAAGTGGGGAGGGGGCAGTGTGCAATTTTAGGCAGGTCTCTGTGGGCTGGCATCGTGGCAATTAGGCCAGGCACCTTTGGGGAAGCTGAGGTTACTCAACACAGCTGGGCTTTCAGCAGGAGGCTAAGGCTGGTCTTTGGCTGAAATGTGGCTAGAGAAGGCACGGAAGTCCTGGCTGGTGAAGGGGACCGAGGGCCATCTCGGGGCGGGGGTGTGGTGTGTGTTGGGGGTGGAGGACAAATGCTCCTGTCTGCAGGGCCCTGCCTCCCAAACCACCCTAACTGGCCCTCGGCCAAGCTCTCTCTCTCCCTGCCTTGGGCTGCAAATCAAGGCACATGAAGGGGAGGGAGTGGCCTCAGGTAAAGGCACTAGAAGAACCACCATGTCAGCTTGCAGCAGGCAATAGCCAAATAAGCCTAGACCACCTGGGGCAGAGACTGCCAAGATGGCGCAGGAAAGGAGACCTCAGTAGAGGGCTCTTAAAATGGCAATGTCAAATACTGGCCCTGGCTAGGGGGAGGGTTTCCCCTCACTCATTCAGAGTCTAGTGTAGGGACCGGGCCAGGAAGGCCGCAGCAGCCAGTGCCCCAGCTGTCCCAGCTGCACCTTCCACCTTGAGTTCAGAGGCTAGAGCAACTGGATCCTTGGCTCAGAGCCCTGTCCTCCTCCCTTTTATTCCACCAACCTCTTGGGGGGACCAGAAGCACCAAGAAGCCTAGGGAAGGAGAAGTCGGGGGCTGGGGCTGCCCTGGAGACCCCATCACATTAAGGTATAAAGCCATGGGCTCACCCCATCTAGAGACCTGCAGGGCGAGGCTGGCCCAGTGGAGGGAGGGGGTCGGGCATGAAGGAGAGCGGACACCAGTGAAGCTTCCACTTCATGTAAACAAGGAGGAGTGAGCCCTGCCCGGCCACCGCCACCGCCAGTCTTGTGGAGGCATGTGATTATCTTGAGATGCTGCAGACCCTCACATCTGTGATTCAGGGTCCCTGAGACCAGGATGAAGGCTGCTGGGGCAGGAGGCCAGCAGGGCTCTGATGTGTAAACTGGTGCAGGGTTTGACCTGTGTTCTCCACAGGACAGGACAGGGGGGCATCCACAGGTCCTGCCCACTGCTGGCCCACGGCTCAGGAAATCACGCAATTGCTGGTCTTGGCAGGACTGGGACTTGTTTTACCTGCAGAGACAAGGGACACAGGCAGGGAAGGGTATAAATGACGTGCTTAGTGGATTCACCTCCAGCCCCTCTCCTGTGCACTGCCCACACCTCAGATTTGGGGGCTGGGGTCACTGTCTCCCTCCCAAGCTGCTGATTTGGAAACCAGGTCAGTAGGGGCCCCAGGAAAGCAAAAGGACTGTCCTGACAGCCTCAGCAAGACTGCCACTGATTAGGACATCAAGGGATCTGCCATCTCCTGACCTCAGCGGGGTGGGGGAAGGATCCAGACCCCAAATCAACAACTACAATCAGTGACTTAAAAGTCTTGCCAAGAGGCAGTTTAGCTAACACCATGCGCAGCCTCACAGCTTACAAAGCACAGCCCCAGTCATTCTCTCAGGTAGCCCTTGTGGGCGCTGCACTGTGAGAAGGTCTCATCAGTCCTATCTTACAGCTGAGCGTGGCGGGGCCCCCAGGCCCCAGAGCCAGCCAGCGCCAGCGTCTGGTCTTCCAAATCCTGTCTCAGCTCCCTCTGCCATGCAGGTTGCCTAAGGAGGAAGAGGAAAAGCTTGTGCCTCAGGAAGGGTCAGTAGGCTGACGGAGAGCCAGGCAGTGTGGCATGGACCACATGCTTAGGGAGGTGGTTTTAAGGAAGAGGATGGAGGGAACGCACTTCACTGAGAGGAAAGGGGGCGAGAAAGCTGTTCTGCTCCAGGCCAGAGAAGCACGTTTCTCCTCTTCCCAGCCCCCTTCCATCTATTTCCACTTCCTTTACTATCCCAAGCAGAGACCAGTGGCTTCTTTGGCAGGATTCCTGCCATCGAGGGAAGGGGGGAGCTGCAAGACAGACACTGACACCTCCCGGCTTGCCTGCGAGGAGTCGGCCACTGGATCCATGTCCTTCTGGCACACCGGCTGCCTTTCTCCCAGGTGGAAGCTGCTGTTATTTTCTGCCTGTTCCTTTCCACACTGCAAGGGTCACCTCCCTGGCACTCAGACCACCTTCTCATATCACTTCAGCTGTGAATTTACTTAAGGTGGCTTCTGTCTCCTCTCCTGGGCCATTAGCGAGAGACACTGAGCAGGCCCGAGTGGAGACCCTTCCTCCTGCCCTGCTCCTGTTACCCACCGCCTTCCCTGGGCTGGACTGAACTCACTCCTCGGGACTTGCTACAAGTCCAGCTGAGCCTCCTTGGAGGCTCGCTGACAGCGCTTAGAGCTTAGAGGAGGTGGGAAGGGAGCCAGATGACTGTGGCCCCCCTCCCCAGAGCTCCGAGGGTCAAGGAGCTTCGTCATCTGCCATGTGGTGCTGAGGTTGCCTCTGGTGCAGCTCTGCTGAAGTGATCACATTCCCCCGTCCCCTCACTGAAGCAATGGACATGTCTGTCCCCACTTCCTCTCCTTAGGGGCTTGTTTTATTGAGCAGATGCGAGCTCCTCCCCGGAGGCAGTGGCACTTTGGAGGCAGGATCCTGAAGCAGGGGAAGGAGCGTAGCTTGGGATGGGGAGGCTAGGAGCCTTAGAGGAGCCTCATGCCCGGACAAGGCGGCAGGAGCAGGGGTCAGGGCCTGTGTTTGCAGGGCGTGCTTCCCACTCCCCCACTCATTTTATAAGGCTGGATGAAAGCCCGAAGACATACTTTATACTCAGAATTCATCCCTATGCCTCTGATAGAAAAACTGGTTTGAGGAAAAATTCTTTGTGTTCCATCATGATTCCATGTACACGCGCAGGTGTTCAGCAAGAGTCTGAGGCGAGTCAGACCTGCTCAGATTAATAGGGAAGAATCCAGAAACAGCCCTCAATTTTATTTATTTTTTTTTTACAAAGTACGTGTGACATGGGCAGTTCAAAAGAAGCTTAGGAGAGAAAGTCCAACTTCAAAGGGAGGCGACACTGGAGTGAGACTGAAAGTGGGGGTGGGAAGTGGGAGAAGAGGGGGCAGCAAGACGCAAGGGCTGGAGGGGGAGCCGGCCTTGGCGTCAGGACAGGCTCATCTGTCAGTACCCAGCAAGTCTGGTTTAGCTGGCAGGAGAGAGGTGACAGGCACGATGGGCTCTACCTCCCTATAGGTTCCTGGGCCTCACAGTCTCCCTTTCTGGAAGATTCTTCCCCTGGATGTCCACATGGCTCTCTCCTTCCTTCCTTCAAGTCTCTGCTCAGATGCCCCTTTGTCAGAGAGGCGTCCCCCGATCACTTTTTATAAAAGGGTCACTGCCCTCCCCTGTCCCCTCTCTCCAGGACAGTATTCACTCCGTAAGAGCAGGGACTTTGCTCGTTTTTTTCACTGCTGTACCAGGAACTCAGAACAGTGCCTGGCACAGAGCAGACGGTACATAGACGTATATCTGATGGATAAAATGATGACCAGGCAATGCAAGCTACTTCAGGGTTCATAGCAATACCCACAATAGTGGCCTCGAGAGACACTGACTGGGTGATCCACGTGCCTCACTCACCTAGATGGTGATGTAGCCCTGGCCCAAGAGGGCCCAGAGGGGCAGGGGATTATGACATCTGCCAGTGAGAATCAGGTCGCCTGCCTCTTCTCTAGAGCCGTGTGGCGTCAGTTCCTAGAAGGATGCTCTCTGGCTCCCCTCACCGGTGTTGTGGGATCGGGACCCCGGATGGGAACGGTGACCAGGTTTACCGCATCAGACTGCAGCCTCCAACACCAGCTGGAGGCTGACCTGCACTCCTCAGGAGCTACAATGAATTTTGAAACTCTTTCTTGACAAGAAAGCTCTTGAGGAACTGGAGGCCCACAGGTCCCTCACTTCCCCAACCTTCCATCCTGGACAGGGGCCCAGATTTCCAGGAGAGAGATCTGAGGCCTTCAGCCTCCCAGGATGACACAGGTGAGCCTGAAGTCTCCAAATCCAGGAGCCCAGTGGCGACAACACTAGGAGCCAGATCACACTGCCAGCCAGAGTGGCCAATCCATGCATGAATAGGGGAACCAGGCGAGTTCTGGAAAGGCAACCATCGCTGCAGTCACCTCAGACAACTCTGGGAAGAAAAGCATGAGGCCAGGGGACTTGGAAGGTAGTGACCCACAGGCACTCCGTGGCGTAAATGACCACTCTCCTCTTCCTCTCCACTGGTGGGATACCAGGGGGAAAGTCAATCACGTATTCAGGCTTCGGCCTTTCCAAACAGTCTTTAAAGATATAGGTAAATGGTGCCAACTTTAACCTTCCAGAGACAGCCACAGGCTTTGTGAAAGGCCCTGGGAGGCAAGAGACCATGCTACCCTTTTCTCACTGTGTGACCATGGATGCAGGGGCTCGCCTCTGTGCCTCTGGGGTCTCGTCTGTGAAACGATGTCATCAGGCAGGGTGGTTGTGAGTTCTGTGTGAAAGCACTGAGCACCCAGTCCACCCAGCACTTGCCAGGTACTCAGCAAAATTCTGTGCCTTTCTTCCTTCTCTTAACCGTCTTGGAGAGTGTTGGCCGTTTCCCAGTGATTTCCCTGGGGGGACCAGGAGGGGCTTCAGGACATCACCTGGAACCTCCTCCCCGCTGCCTGGCAGTCCCCTGAGGGCAGGGCCCTGTCCTGCTCTGGGGACCCCGGGCACAGGAAAACACCCAGGGCACTTGTTTAACATGCAGATTCCTCACTGCATTTTAACAAGGCTCTCCAGTGACTGCTGTTCCCTGAGGTTGGGATCTCTGCCCCAGAGGGCCCATCCAAACTCCTGGATGGACGCAGCAGAAGGCAGGCTCAGGGAGAGGTACTGAGCGCATCCAGAGCAGGAGCAAGCCCTCAGCGATAGGAAGAGAAGGAAAAGGTACTCGCTTCCGCCAGTAGAGGGGGCTGTGAGCCTTCAAACCACCAGGCGGCCCGGCTGGATCTCCAGGCCTACAGGAAGGGATTTCCGAAGGTTCTCCCAAGGGCCATACTTGGGTTTGCAAAAATTTGCATGCTGTTTGACAACTATATACTTCTTATCAAGCAATTTTACAAGATGTCAGCGCCCAGCCTGTTTTTCTCTCTTTCACCCACCCTGTCATCAGCCCAGACTCTCCCTTGACAAGAGGGCAGCAGAGACAGTCAGGAGGGACAGAGTCAGAATCAGAGCTCCAAGGGACCTGGAAACCCTCCCTGGCTCACCCCCACCTCTTCTCAACCAGGAAACAGCCCCGGGAGGTAAAAGGATGTGTCCAGGTATGGGGAGTGCTTTGATGCCCTGGGAGCTGAGATCCACACCATGTCTATTCTGATGATGTTCTGAAAGTTCACTGTAGGAAAGGGATCCTTTCCTGGATGCGGCCCTAAGGTAGCAGCTAAAGGGATTTCCTCCCAGACGACAGTTCCAAGCGTACTAGGATTACCAGTTCCAGCCTTGGGGCCCCCACGCTGACCCTGACCCTCTGGCACAGAGTCCTCCTGACTTAGCTTCTGCTGCCCGAGAGGAGGCACTGAGACAGCCCAGCCTCAGTCAAATGTTTGGGAGGCTAGAGGCCGCTAAAAAGGGCCTTTGGGGAGAGAAGTCCCCCTTCTTGCCCTGCCTTTGAGGGAAGAAAGCAACAGGGAGAGGAAAGCTCTCATTAGGGGCTTGAATTTCGGGCCCTCGGGTACTGGATGCCCATCCAGGTGGGCAGAGACTGTGCTGGGTGAGGCCACTCTGTGTTTCTTCTAAAGGATGGAGAAGGAATAGGGTGATCTTGCTGGGCATCCCCCAGACCTTCCTGAATTTATGTGCCAGCACACTCTCGTGCTTGCTCTTCTCTCTCTCTGGGTATTGGGCTCTGTCCGGGGCTGCCTGGCTGGCTCCTGGGCACCATGTGCAAACACTCAGAGAGCAGCAGCAGTGGCAGCGACCATCCAAGTCATCCAAGCAGGGGAACCCGATGCAGAGAGACTCAGGAGAGGCAGCAGGAAGGGACAAGACAATGGGCCTTTCGTTTCTATGGAAACAGCACCTCAGGGTGAGGGGCTGAAGGAAAAGAAAGCTTCCACTTCACCTCCAGTCAGGACTCCAAACAGCCCCTTTTGTGGTTGGGCTCCTCCTCCGCCCCTTCCCTGCCAGGTGTTCACCATGGCAACCCTTCCTCCAAACGAGAGGTGCAGAGCAGCAGCAGCATCTGGTGTTGGGGGAGCCAGGAATCCCAGGGGGAATGGGACGGGCCAGCTACCCCTCTCCTTGACAGGACATGGGCCCTGGCCTGGGTTTGAGTCCGGGCCCCACTACCACTTACTGTGTCTTGAGACCACTTAATTCACCTCTCCGAGCTCCCACCTGCCACCTCTGTGGTTGTTGTGAGGGCCAGTTGAGAGGGAAAGCACCTAGTGAAGGTTCTGGCACATGGAGGCACTGCATATATGCTTCCTGGCCAAACGGAGCTATAGCACTGTGCTCCTGCTATGCCCAAATGCACGGAGACTCCCAGGCCCATCCTAACTTGAAGGAGCACAGACTGAGTGTGTCACGCTCTGTAGTAGGGCTGGGGAATCAGCAGAGTGGGAGACAGTTGTGACCCTTGCTCTCAAGGTCAAAGCTGGGGAAGCACTCAGGCTGCCCAGGACGGGACCTCAGGCCCTGCCATTACTACCCAGCCAGCCAGGGAGCCCAGGTTCACTGCTACAAAGCCCTACAGCCACAGAGGGAGAAATCTCAACAAAGAACCCCTTTGAGGGCCGGCCCCATGGCTTAGCGGTTAAGTACGCGCGCTCCGCTGCTGGCGGCCCGGGTTCGGATCCCAGGTGCGCATCGATGCGCCGCTTCTCAGGCCATGCTGAGGCCGTGTCCCGCATACAGCAACTAGAGGGATGTGCAGCTATGACATACAACTATCTACTGGGGCTTTGGGGGGGAAAATAAATAAATAAATAAAATCTTTAAAAAAAAAAAAAAGAACTCCTTTGACCCAGAGATGCTGACACAAGAAAAGGCACCAGTAGCAGCCTTGGCTGGCACCATCAGCCTCTGGAAAGGCCACACTGGAGACTGCTCCAGAGAGAGAGATAAAGGCCAGGATCTCTAGTGGACTCCAAGGAGACAGCCAGAAAGATACCACCACCAGGAACCATCTCTCCTAGAGGGAAGCAGCGTGGCAAACACTACTCATCAAACAAACCCAGGGAGGAACCAAGTCAAACTATTTACCACAGAAATGAGGGGAGTGGGTCGGGGCACTGGGGCGCACAGGTGAGGGTCAGGTGTGTTTGACCAGGTTGGGTCCTGATGATAGGTGAACCAGCCAAGAACAAAGTTTGCTAGAACGAGCCCAGACTCAGAGGCGGGGGTCGAGCCTTAGCCCTGCCACTCAGCTGCGCTGTGCCTCTGCTACTTCACTTACAAAGGAGAAACCGTCCAAGCCTCTACAGGAGTAATCGTAGCTCTCAGACTGCCCCAGGCCCACCGTTCAGAACAGCTGGGCAAGGCAGGCACCATTCTACCCCTTTAGAGAGGAGGAAACTGAAACTCAGACCTGCAGCGGCTGGCCCCAGGCCAGAAGGTAGATGAAGGCCAGAGCAAATGGGAACTGGGGACTGTCTGACCCCAGAGCTCCTGCTCTCTCCCTGCCAGCAAGCTGCCTTTCTGCAGATATGAGGCACCGTTCCTCGATAAGGGCCAGGGGCCTGGGGGCACTGGGCCAGAGGCGGGAGGGCTCACCTGAGATGTCGGCACTGGAGCCTTCGTTGGGCCTCTTCCCCATCACAAACTCCACTTCGGCAAAGGTCTCAGTGGAGAGGGAGCTGGCTGTGCCGTTGGGCGCTGCAGGCCTCTTGGCCCGTCGGCTGAAGAACCTGCTGCTAAAGCGCTTGCCCTCCTTGGCTGGGGTGGCCTCTCCGTTGGCAGCTTCTCCCTTGCCGTTACGGGCTAGAGCCTCTCGGGGTTTGGGCTTCAGGTCCATATGCAGGTGAGAGACCACCCTGCCATCCTTCCGAATCAGCTCTCCCGAGGGAACGGGCTCCACGGAGGGCAGCACCTGCTCCAGTGTGACCAGGTCATTCAGGAAGCTCTCTAGGCGCTGGGCTGCCTCGCCGCCTCCGCTGCCCTCTTCCTGCCTCTCTGGGTCGCCGCTGGCCTCCCGCTGCTGTCGGGCGGCCCAGCGCATCATCTCCCCCGGTGGGTGGCGGCTGCCTGACACCAGGGCGTACTTGGGGTTGATGAGCTTTCGAGCCACAGTGGAGGTGTAGTTAAGGCCAAGCCTGCCAGCACCTCCTGCCAGGCCCAGCTGCTGGTACAAGTTCACCTCCTCGGAGATGGCATATAGCTCCCGGAACTCCACGTCGAAGGGCTCCACGTTCTGCCCTGTCAGGATGAGGAGAAGGTTCCTGTCCACGTAGGAGGAACTCCAGGTGAACCTGGGAACAGAAAAACAAGATGCATGTGCCCAGGCCTGTGGTCTCGCCCTGCCAGCAGCCCCTTGGCAAGCCCATCTCAACACCCATTGCCCCCGCCCCAACCTGATCCGCCACTGAGGCCAGATGCCTTGCCGCTTGGTGGAAGGCACCTCCGGGCCTTTGCACTGGATGCTTTCCCTCCACCAACCCAAATCCTCTTTTTTCCAGGTCTGGGCCTCGAATGCAGAAAGGCAGGCGGTGGGTGCAGGGCTATGGCATGAGAAGTCAGGCCTGGATTCAAACCTGGTTTCTACCCTGTGTGCCTTGTAAAACGGGGCTCATGGGGCTACAGCCAGAGTTGCTGTGAGGATCAAGTAAAATAACATATATAAAAATTTAGCTCAGAACCTGGCACAAACACATTTAATGAGTAGTAACTGCAGCTGCTATCGTTGTTAATATCATTCCATTACTTATTGATGCATCTCTGAATTTTTAGAGCACTTGACGTCTGCCAAATCCCAAACTTGAACCATGTAAGAAGACTTACGCCATTTATTAATTGTTTCATGTGCCCTGGTCTCTTTTCCTTACTTAAAATTTTAACTTACTTGGAGGGACAGAGACTGCACAGATGCAGTCTCTCATCTTCCTGGTAATTTACTTCTGAATCAGAATTTGGGAGACATTCCTTCCACGCCACACTCTCACATTTCTTTCCCAGATCTGGTCCATTCTGCTTCCTGCTTGTCTCACCTAACAACTAGCCTCAAAATGCAACTGATTGCTGTGGACCATGAAAGGCAGGAAGTGCTGAATGCCCAGTAAGAGTTGACCCTCTTTCTGGAATAATCCAGTAGCCAGAAAGTCTGAGGGAAGGGACTGGCCAGGAGGCTCTTCTCTGCTATGGGATCAGACAATACCTCTTAAACTAGTGACTATGGAGGCTCAAGTCCAGCATCTTCTGGAACAGGAACATTTATTACCATGAATAAAGGCCTCCCAGGCCCTTCTCTGACCTGGCAAAACTCACCTGTAAGAGCCAGTGGCTACTTTCTCACCATCTACCATCAGGAACTTTGATGACAGGGTCCCCTTGATCTTGCCCATGGGCATGTAGAAGCCAACACCTGTCACAGAGCGGACACGGATGTTCTGTTGAGAAGAGGAGAAACGCACCGTCACACAGGTTGGGGGCCTATGAGGCTCTGAGCCAAGTCTTTGCTTGGGCAGAGGAGCCCACTTGTCCATGAGACCCTGCCTGCTGGCTCCTGTCGGCACTAGACTCTGCTTCCTGTGGCCTTACAAGCGGAACCCCATTTGGAGGGCAGGAGGAAGTCCGCAAATCGTGCTTTGGGCGGGGACAAGCCCACGGTGGTTCCTGCCTGCTCCCAAAGCTCTCCAGAAGAGAACCACAGCCCCAGCTTTAACCCTGGCAGTGACTCTGCAGGCTGAGCACCCCAGGGCTGGGCCAGAGTGCCTCCTTAGCCTCAGCAGCCTTGGGATAAAATTTAAGCTGGGCATGTAATTTAGGATTATCAGTTCACGAGGCAAGGTTTCAGACAGAAGGAAAGGGGTTGAGATCTTGATGTTCAAGATCTTGATGATCTGAGCCCTGAACTGGGAAGGAGGCAGAGGAAGGGGCAGAAGTGGTCTCCATCTCATCTCCTGCCCTCCCTCCCGGCCCCCGAGTGGTACAACTTACCCGAATACGGAAGTCAGCGAGCTCTAGGCCCTGACACATCTCCAGGAAATACTTCACGCCTGCCTCATCCAGGATGATGTACACTGGCACTCGGCGCTTTGAGGCAGCGTCCACAATGTCTTGGAAGATATCGCCGTCCGTGAAGAGGTCCATGACCACAGCAACGACCTGGACGGGGAAGGCACCTGTGAGGAACGCCGTGACTGCACACCTACAGAGACACATCTCGGCCCTGAGAGGACCAGCTGGGCCCAGGGTAACTGGTGGCCAAGAGTCAAAAACCCCATCTGCACCACTCCTGGGTTCCCCACCTCCCCACCAACCTCGGAGCACACCTGAGCTCAGGAGATGGGCTCTCTGCTCTGGGAAACGCCTGAGGGTGCAGGCCACGCTGCTGGTACTTCATCCTTAACCAACCCCCACCGGCCCCCCTGGGGATCTTCCAGCAGCTCTTCAGAAGCCGTTATCAGGGGAAAGGAAAGTCGGTCCTGGTGCCCTAGGGAAACAAGCAGGCTCAAGAAGGTGCGATCACTGAGAGGCACGGAATGGACTCCTTTCCACAAGCTGCAGATCTGCTCTACCACCACCTTCTCTGCAGGCCTGGGGTACTGGATCTCCCTGCTACTGTGCAGACCCCTGTTCTTCCCTGAGCACAGATCCGGCCAGAGCTCCAGTTAGCTCAGACTGTCCCGGCCTCCAGGCGTCCAGGCCATCCCATTCCATCCTCAAATCAAGGTCACTGCCTAGGACTCTTGATTTCCCAAAGTCAGTTCTGATTATCCATCCTGGAAGGCAAGGCCTTCCGCAGCCTGAGGGAGATCTGCCTTTCTGACCTTAGCATCCTCCATTTTCCTACACAAACCTTCCTCTGCTCCAGAGGCAGGGTTTTCTTGTTGGCCCCAAGAACTGTGCACGTGATGCAGAGGAAAGGGCATGCTTTGGGGTCAGAGAGATCTGGTTATGACCACTTTCTATTTATGTGACCTTAGGCAAGTCACTGAACCTCGACGAGCCTCTGTTTCCTCATCTGCAAAGTGGGGATACCCTGTACTTTATACATCTGCCATCAGGATTAGAGACAATGTCTGTAAAGCAACAAACATGATGCCTGGCATGTAGTAAGTCCTCAGTAAATGGTAACCACTGTATGGCGGAGAGGGTCAGCTTGTGGTTGTAACCTGAACTCTGAAGTCGGGCAGACCAGGCCTCGTGTACCAACTCCAACGGTGACTCGTCAGAGCCCCAGCTTCCTTGGCAGCAAAATGGAGCTAATAGTAGCACCTTTCTCAAAGGGTTGTCATGAGGGCTTAGGGAGAGAAACCACAAAAGCACTTATCACAGTGCCTGGCACATGGTAAGCTCAGTAAGCAGTACCCTCCATCACCATCACCATCATTGTCACCATCATCATCACCACCGCCTTCACACGTGTGCTCTACCATTACCCCTGCCTCTAAGACCACTCCTCTCACCATTCACACAATATTATTTAAGGCTCTTCCTAGCTCCTGCATTTAATACTCAATCATTCCTACAAGTAACATTTACCCAGCTCCACAAGCAGAGGGAGGATCTGAAGACAAATAAACTATAATCCCTCACTTCAAGGGGTTAATCCACCTGGAACGATAAGATATTTTCAAAAAATAACTAAAACATAAGGAAAATGAGATAAATGCCTTAAAAGATGCACAAATGACATTTGATGTGAGTTCAAAGGCTGGGAGGGGAAGAGAAGGAGGGATGGAGGGAGGGAGGGAGATTAATTGATTACTTCCAGCCAGGGTAGAACAAGGCTTCACAGAGGAAGCTGCAACCTGAAGAGTGGGCAGCCTTGGGCACCATGAGAAATAAGCAGGGAGAAAAACTGAGCAGGGAAGTAGGCAAGGCTGCCAGGCATGGGTCTGCAAGTTGTGCACCGCACATGGACAATGGGCTGAGCAGGCGCGTGGAAGTTGTGCCTGCCTGAGGAAGGGACACCTTTTTCTCATCTGCATACAGGTGCCACATGGGCTAGCAGGGGCCTAGGAGGTGGGCATTTTAGGCAAAGACCACAACACAAACAAAGGCACGAGGACAAGGATAAGATGCACTGAACACTTTTGATGTGCCCCACACCATTCCAGGTGCTTGAGGTACATTTTCTAATTTGATCCTCACAATGAGGAAGATTGTTACTCCCATTTTACAGATGAGGAAGTAAATCCAAAGGGACAAAGTAACGTATCCAAGGTCAAGCAGCTAGCATGTAGCAGATTTGAACTCAGGTATGTCTGACCCCAGAGTCTTCATTTCACTGCATTATACTGCCTCACAGAGATGGCAGAGCTGTAAGGTATTTTAGAAACATTAAATAAAAAAAAAATTTTTTTTTAAAAAGATTATACAAGATAGGCAAACTAGCAAGACTGATAAAAACAGAGGAGATGCAAACAAAATACTGAATGAAAAAAGAGAAATAACTATAGATGCATTTGCTTTTTAAGTAAATAATTACAGAGATAACTGCAGAAATATTTACTTTTAAAAAATTTTAAGGAAATTCTTACTATTTAAGAAATAGTAAAAATGGGAAAAAAATTTTAAGACCATTTACACATTGATGAATTTGAAAATAAAAACAACATGGATAAGTCATTAAAAGTGAATTAAACACAATACAGCATAATCAAGTAAAGTTTATCCTGGAAATGTAACGATGATTCAACATCAGAAAATGTATTATTTTAATTTATAACATTTATGGGGTCAAGGAGGGGAAATCATATATTATCTTAAAAGTTTTAAAAAGTACTTGATAGGGGCCAGCTCCCTGGCATAGTGGTTAAATTCAGCACACTCCACTTTGGTGGCCTGGGTTTGTGGGTTTGGATCCTGGGCGTGGACCTACATCACTCATCAGCCATGCTGTGGCGGTGACCCACATACAAAATAGAGGAAGACTGGCACAGATGTTAACTCAGGGCTAATCTTCCTCAAGCCAAAAAAAAAAAAGAGTTAGATTGGCAACAGATGTTAGCTCAGGGCAAATCCTCCTCAGCTAAAAAAAAGAAAGTATTTGATAACACTAGATCCCTATCTGTGATTAAAATTCTCAAAAAACTAGCCACAGAAGGGACCTCCCTTAACTTGATAAAGGCTATCTACTAAAAACCCACCTGAAACACACTTAATAGAGAAATTTTAGACGCATTTTTAAAGTCAAGAATACTCACTATCACCACTGCTGTTCAACAAAGTATTGGAGGTCCTGACCAATGCAATAAGACAAGAAAAAGAAGTAAGAGAAAGATTAGAAGAGACAAAACTACCAGTATTTGGAGATGATATTTTTATAGAAAACCTAGTAGAATGCAAAGGAAAACCATTAGAATTAATAGGAGAATTCAACAAGATTGCTAGATATAAGAAAAACTTATAAAAATCAATAGCATTCTTCCACTATGGCAATAATCAACTAAAAAAAAAAAGAATAGAAAATAAGATCCATTCAAAATTGTAACTTAAGTACATAGTGTTTAGGAATTAATACCTTTATGGAGAAATTTTGAACACTCTACTAAAGGACATTTAAAAATATGTGAATAAATGAAGAGATAAATCATGTTCATGGATAACAGGATTTAATATTTTAAAAATCCAATTCTCCCCATATTAATAAAATCCAATGCAATTCCAATGAAAGTTCAGTAAATTTTTTTGAGGAACTCAAATACTTCTAAGATGTGAGGCAGAATGAAGATCCACAATAACTAAGTCAATGTTGAAAAAGAAAAGCTAACAGGGGACACTTGTCCTACCAGATAATAAGACATACTGCAGAGCCATAGTAATAAGAATTGTGGTACTGAGGTAGGAAGGAACTAAGAAATAGACTAATGAAACAGCATGGAGAGACCAGCAACCTATATGTATCTATATACATACATAAAACTTCAAGTCTGATAGGGGTAGAATCACAATTCAGTGGAGAAAGGATGCTGTTTAATAGATGCTGCTGGTAAAATTGGCTTACTATATAAAGAAAAATAAAGGTGGATCCCTACCTCACACCATATAAAGGTGAATTTCAGGTAGGCTAAATACCTAAACGTGATCCTTGAGATGTAGGAAAATATCTTCATGACACAGGTAAGAAAGGATTTCTTAAAATTCCAAAAGCACAAATCATACAACAAATAAAATTTAAAAAGATGCATTTGACAAATTAGAGATTTTCTGTTCAAAGAAAGATGCCATAGACAAGGGTAACTGATGGGAGAAGATATCTGCAATGTCTACAACCAAAAGGAGTTAATAATATACAAGGGATGCCTGCAAATCAGCAAGAAAAAGACAGGAAATTAATTAGAAAAATGGGCAAAGGATATGAACAGGTAATTCCTAGAGGAGATACCTGAATGGCTAATAAGTACGTAAAGAGAAGCAGACTTTCTTAGTAATCAGAAAAATTCAAATTAAAGGAAAGAGAGAGAGAGAGAGAGAGAGAGAGATACCACTTTATAACTATAAGATTAACTAAAAATTAGAAAGTTGTATAATTCTAAACATTAGTATGTGAGGAAAGGGGAACCCTCATTCACTGCTGGTGGGAAGGGACACTGGTGCAGTTATTCCCTAGAGCACTGGGCAGAGCTCAGTGGATTTCAGGATGTGCATAACTACAAGCCAGCAATGCCACTCTTGGCATTGCACCTGGGGAACCTCGTGGATATTTGCACAGGTCTATAAGGTGGCAGGAACAAAGATATTCTCTGTAGCTTTCTTTGGGACAGCAAGGAGTTGGCATAACTTAGATGCCTATCTCCAGAAGAATGGGTGAGGAATGTACACGACAGAGTGCTCTGTAGCACAGAAGCAATGAACCAGTTCTATGTGCAGTAACTTGGATAGTTCTTTTTAAAATGGATAGTTTGACTTAAAATGTTAGAGAATGAGATCTATAGCCTAATATCATTTATGTAAATAAGAACACTCTACATAAAATAACACTGCACGTTTTCAAGGATACAGACATATCCAAGGACATATACTGAATACATCAGAGTGGCTGCCTATAGATGGAGAAAGAATGGGAGGGGAGGCAAACATAAAGTAAGAGGGGCCTTCCATGGATTGAGGATGGCAGTGGACCATGAAAGGAGGTTCACAGTCAGCTCCACACTTGA